ATGCTTACAGGTACCAGCTTTACCCAGCATGCATCACAGTCACAGACAACAGCTTTACCCAGCATGCACCACGCTTACAGGTACCAGCTTTATTCAGCAGGCGCCATGCTCACAGGCACCAGCCCTACCCAGCATGCATCACACTTGCAGACACCAGCTTTACCCAGCATGCATCACAGTCGCAGACACCAGGTTTACCCAGCATGCACCACACTTATAGGTACCAGCTTTATTCAGCAGGAGCCATGCCCACAGGCACCAGCTTTGCCCAGCAAGCAGCAGTTTTATAGGCACCAGCTTTACCCAGCAGGACCTGCCTTTTATCTAGCAGATGCCACATTTACAGTTATCAGCTTTACCCAGCAGGCACCAGATTTACCCAGCATGTACCAGGTTTATAGGCATCAGGTTTACAGGCACCCACAGTTAGGAGAAGGCTTGGTTTGGAGGCTCCTTGGCTGCACTGCTCACCCACCTCATGCTCTTTCTTGAGCATCTCCATGGCCTCCCGGAAGCGCTTTTCCTTCTCCTCGGTCTCAGCGATGGTGGCTTGGTTTTGCTCCTCGTAAGCCATGGCAACCACAGCCAGGATCAAGTTCACCAGGTAGAAGGAGCCCAGGAAGATGACAAGCATGAAGAAGATCATGTAGATCTTCCCTGCAGACCTCAGGGTCTGGGGGAGTAAGGCAATAGAGGTTATCTTCACTGGGGTCCCTTCTAGGTCATGGTCATGGAATTTCAAGTTGTCCAGTCTGGCTGTGCCAAGGGTTCAAATGACCACAGCCAGGGGAGGGAGTAGAGCATATCCTATCTATAGAGGTAAGTGTTCTAACCTATAGAGAAGAATGACCTACACGCAGGGGATGGTGTCCCACCCATAGAGGGAGGCAGAATGTTCCAGGCAACAGAGGAAATGTTGCATGCATAGAGGGGACTATTCCATCACATAGGGTGAAGAGTTGCACTCACAGAGCACAGAGTATCCCATATAGAGGGATGGGTACTTGTTTACCGGCAAAAAGAAAGTTTCTTTGCTTGCTGTGTCTCATCCCTCAGATGCAAGGGTCCCTGTCCCTTATTCCTTGAGCCCCCTTAGCTCTTGCCAGTAGAGAAGCTGCTGGAGCCACTTCTGGCTAATTCACCTGTGCATCCTGGTCCCTGATGTGTGCCCCTAGCCTGTTCCTGCTGTTCCTCTGCTGCCCGGGCACCCATGTACCTGCTGGTAGAGGCGCTCCCAGCAGTCCTGCGTCATGAGGCGGAAGAGCGCAAGGAAGGCCCAGGCAAAGGAGTCGAAGCTGGTGTAGCCGTGGTCAGGGTTGTCCCCTGCCTTTAGGCACCGGTAACCCTCGGGGCATGTCCTGCAGTCAGACACACAGACTCTGTCCCGTGCCCCTCCCCCCCGCCCCACCGAGATGCTCCCTGGGCCTGACGCATCTCCCTGGGCAGCCCAGCTATGCCCCACAGCTTCATGAGGCTGAGTTTCACGAACTTAGTGCCACGCTGCTGGTCCTGCTGCCGTGACTTTTCATGCCGTGCCTTCCGCCTGGGACATGGTCTTCGCCTTTTCTCTGCCCATCTGTATTCAGCTAGGCCTAAGTCCAGCTCCCTTCTGCCCACACGATACCCGAGTTGCCTCTGCCCTCACAGAGGAAGTGCCAAGGGCCTGGCTCACAGTCTTTTCCTCTGGCTGCCTACCCCACAGGGAGATGGGCACAGAGTTGGCATGCAGTGGGGGGAGGGCAGCAAGGCTTGGTTGAACAGCATGGAGCTGAAAAGCAGGGAGCCCAGGGCAAATGCCAGGCCATGGGGTTGAGGGACGATGCTGGGGTGGACGGGATGGGGTCTGGCCACGTCTGGAGAACGTGACTTCTCCATGACTTTGCATGACTGCACACATAAGCAGAGTGAGGTGGAATGATGGTTCCCAGAGCTGGATGGGACAGCCTCTCTCCCAAAGATGGACCACTGGGCTGGATTCATGAGTGTGAGAGACAGAAGGTGGGGGGCAGGGGACTCGGCAAGTGGGAGGACGCAGCCTCTGTGCCTTGCTCATATCCTAAGACCCTCCAGACAATCTCCTTAGTGACAAGAAGGGCTGGAACCTCATACTGAGAGATGTGGGACTGCAGCCCCACAGAGCCTCTCCCTCACCAGGTAAGCCTGGGTGTCCCACTCTCCGCCTAACAACTGTGGCACGGTCACACTGATCCAGACCCCGTACACACAGGGCCCCAGGGCCCTGGGAGCCGCATGTGGTTATGGGGCATCTCTGGGCACCACACTCGGGCTGCAGGTGCAGGCTCTGCTTGCCCTGGAGGAAAGTCTAGGCTGCTGGGGGAAGCCATACTCTCTCCTGACCCAGTGGACAGATGGGTAGGGAGGGAGTGAAGACTGGATGGAGAGGGAGCAGCCCTGGGGGGCTTCCGCAAAGGAACAGGAGCCAGGGTTGGGCTGGCGGGAGGCACTGCGCGCTCTGTTCGCCCTCCCTGCAGATCTGAGCCTTCATTCCTTCACCACCTCAGAGCTGTCTCCACTGTGGTGGGGGTGGGGTGGACAAGATGCCAGGGGCCTAGCAGGGAACAGAGGCAGGGGAAGGCCTGGGGTCAAGGGCATAAACTGAAAGCACAGTCAGTTGAGAAAGCACCGGGCGGGGGCCCTCCCCTGCCGCCCTCGCCTCACCTCACCTCACCCCTGCTGGGTGAGGTGGCCCTGGGGGGGGGGGGGCGGGTGCCACCTACCCGGCGTCAGAGCTGTTCCCACACAGTAACACATCGGAGGTGCCGTTCTTCAGCAAGTAATTTTCTGAAAGAGGAACAACAGACGGTGAAGGGCACGTGTGTGGCTCAGACTCCCGGGGTTCCCGCGTGGCGTCCAGGGCTCTGGGGAGGTAGAGACGCCACTGGTGTTCTCTTCTCTGGCCCTGCCCTGGCCCCTACCCTCTGCCTGGCCAGGCCTGAGGCAATTCCAGCTGCTACCCTGGCCTGCTTCCTACTCCTCCTCAGACGTTCAGCTGCTAGCATCCCCCACACTCCCAGAACACTCAGGAAGTCCCCACAGGGAGCCTCTGTGCCCTGCCCCGAGCTACTCAGGAGGATAGCCCAGGCCAAGAGAGGCCCTGAACTAGGAGGCAGGGGTCTGGGCAGAGACCCAGCTCGGCTATGAGCCACGGCATGGTTTTGGCAGGCTACTGCTCAGCTCCGTCCGGGCCCACTTCTTCGTGCAAGCAATACAAGCTACAGTCATCGTGGCGATACCGTGGTCTGCTCAGACAGGGCTGGGGCTGGACCAGGTGACATATGCGACACCCAGTCCTGTCCTCTCCCCTCTGGCCATCTGTCAGTCCCCATCCCCCACCACTACCCGCCTTAGTTCTCAAACTGTGGTCCCCAGGCCAGCGGCAGCAGGCATCAACTGGGACCTGGTGAGAAAGGTAACTTCCCGAGTGCCGCCCCAGGTCTACGGACTCAGGAACCCCTGGGGGTGCCGCCCAGCAGTGTGGGCTTTCTGGAGCTCTCCAGGTGACTGGTACACGTGGAAGCTACTTGGCCACAGCTGAACCATAAGCAAATTGAGTCAGTGAGTTGTGGTCTGGTTCTTCTTCCAAAGTGGACTGCTGGTGTAGGGAAGAGGCCCTAACTTCAGAATGTCCCTGGAGGTCCTTGTGGCCTGGAATCTGGCCTTGCACCAGTGTCTACCTTTGAACCAGACTGATGGTACTAGTTAAGAGAGGTGCTCGTCATCAGCCCGGACAATAGAAAACCATGTATCTGTGAAATGACAGGAGGGGCTCATGAGATTTTGTATAATCACTGAGCTAGTTCTGACCCTCTCTCGGGGCTTTGGTGGACATGCACATGGAATTAACATCCTGGCAAGAAACACCAAAGTCGACTGAAACATCCCATGCCACGCAGGTGGGGCCTTCGCTCTGAAGCCTCACAAACTACCCCAGCCCCGTGTCCCACCCTTTCTCCAGCTGACACTCCTTTCTGGGCAGGCAGGCTGGTCTTCTCCCCATGCCCGATTCTCTAGGGTCTGTCCCCGCCTCTAGCCACGGCACCTGCCGTCCCTTATGTGCCTCTCCAGCTAAGTCCATCCTTCCTGTTCCCCAAGTGTCTGGCCATCTAGCCTGAGAAGTCATGAGGGCAGGCCCAAAGTCTCCTCCCCTTTGTCCTCTCCTGGAGTTCCAAAGAGCAGGGGCTGGGATCCCCGAGCACACTTCTGGGTCTCCAGGGGCCCGGGTAGGGCTGGAATGGCCGTTGGGGGCAGGTCTGCCCTCTGGCGAGGCCCGCGTGGCCTCACAAAGCCCTGCCCGGGCCACAGAGTGAGCCTGCACCTGGTTTGCTGAGGTAGCGGTCCAGTGACTCCCAGACCTGGCCGTTGGCCTCCACAGAGCCGTTGGTGTCGTTGAGTGCCGTGAAGTTGCGGACACACTTGTGCCTCAGGTTGCCCATGAAGAGCTGCAGGCCGATGAGGGCGAAGACGCTGAGGCAGAAGACCGTGAGGACCATCACATCGGCCAGCTTCTTCACAGACTGGATCAGGGCCCCCACGATGGTCTTCAGACCTGGGGAAGGCAAGAACGAGCAGGGGGGTCACCCACAGGTCCTGTGCTCCCTGCTCCACTGGGTGGGGGCCAGGCCTGAGGGGGTGCTGGGCCAGGTGGGCAATCATGAGGTGGGGGCAGGTGAAGGAGGCCTCTCTCGGGCTTTTCAGACCAAAAGCTCCCATTTCCTCCATTACTGAGATTCTGTCCTGATTCCCCCGGGGGCAAAGGTCCAGTCTGGCCGTGTATTTTCAGAAGGGCCCAGGCCTCTTTGCTCTCCACTAGCCACATATATGAAATGGGTATGGGAAATGCTGGTTTCCTCAGGAAGAAAACACTCAAAGCCTGTCCCCGTCTGGCTGGTCCCAAGGTATGCCTTTAAATGTAACCTGTGGGAAGGACACTGAGGTCCAGGCCCATTCCAGGGCAATGGGAGAGCGTCTGCCTTGATCCTGAAGATGGGGAGACACAAGCCATTCCTGATAGAGGACTGTGGTGTGTGCTTGGGGGATGGGGGCGCTATCAGGAGGTCTGGCAAGGTCATGGTGGGTAATGTCCTAAAGGGTCTATTCTGGCTAGGGCCCCACTTTTGGAAAAACTTCAAGGGCAGGGGAGGGCTTGACCTATTTTGCATTTTCCTGCCCTGCCCTGTCCCTCCGGGAACTCCATCTCGTTCCATCCCATTCCCCAAAGCCAAGAGGCCATGATGTGTTAGTTGCATGGCCCAGCTCCCTGCAGAAGCCAGCACCACAAAGCAAAAGTGACAGAAAAGCACGTGTAGACGCCTTTGGTCTGACACTGAGCTACTGTCCTACGACAAGTTTGAGCAGAGCATCTGGAGCGAGGGGGCTTCTCTGCCAGCAGCAGAGCCCAGTCTCCCGCCCCCACTCCCCACCCCCCATCAAAGCGACCAGATCTCAGATTAAGCTCCATCCATCCATCCATCGTCCAGCTGGTTAATGTGTTAGGAGCACCCGTGGTGGCCGTGCCCACAGCTGCCGTGCCCATGACCTCGAGACAGGGAGGCAGCGATGGGCAACCACGGGAGGTGGGGGGAGGAAGTCCCCCACTGTGTCACCAGCGCTGCTGCCTGCCCGCAGCTCAGAGGCACTCAGCGTGCTCGGTGGGAATCGTCCTGGCAGATGTTGGCAACTGCCCTGGGCAGGCGTGGCCCCTGCAGGGGTCTGGGCCTGGAGTGGTGGTGTCAGTGGGATCCCCATTCTGTAGCCCAGGGCGCCTCATCTCTAGCAGAGCTTCTAGGACCCCCTCAGGGAGCCCACTCTGGTTCTGCTCACCAGGCCCGGAGACCCTGCCCGTACTGGACGTGGCAGGGAGCATAGGGTAAGAGGTGGTGGGCAGCAGACTCTGCCTCAACTAGCATACAGTTCAAGGCCCAGTGAAGCACTTCCTGGCCTGTGGACATAGCGTCCAGGGGGGACAATCAGTTGGTGAGCACAGATCCAGTCCTTTAGATATTTCTCATATTGATGACAGGGTTCACTTCTGGCAAGAATGAGTCCAATGAAGTTAACAGGATTCTTTCTGAAAAGACCCAAGAAAGGAAGGGTCCTGGGCATCAGCTGGGAAACTCTCCTGCCACTGAAGTTCTAACAGGCTGGGTGAAGAGCCCTTGGAAACCAACCATTTGGATTTCATTCCCATTTTGTGGGAGAGGAGACCGAGGTCTGGAGAGGGCCAAGGCTCTTTAAGCCTCAGCTCAGGGGACACCTCCTCCGGGGAGACTTCCATAATGCTGACCACAGCACTGTTCTAATGACCACTTTCAGGGTCTTTTGTCTGCTTCCTCACTGGGGGTGCTGGCAGCTTTGAAGAGATCCAGTGGGCCTGGGTTGAGGCTGGCAGGCTTCCTCCTTTACTCCAGGACTGAGAAATATTTTCCTTTGCCAGCCTTTTTTATAAAACAGACTGGAACATGCCTTTTCTCAGCTGCTGTGGTCAGTGTGCTTCTCTAATCCTGTGGATGGATGAGGTGAGGTTGTCCCTGGGACCCTAGAAGACAGACCCTGAGGCTTCTAAGCATGTATGCGTGCACCCAGGCCAGTGACAATGCCTGTCTCCATGGCGGTGACTCGGTACACTGGGGGCAGACTGCCCCACTTGCTACTGGCTCTTAGCAGGGGTCTGGGCCACTTGCGGGAAGCACATCCTACGGGGTTCAGAGGCCAGGAGGAACATTCTGGGCTAGTTTGAACATGGCATAAGTGGATGGGGTTCCTCTTATAAGATGATTAAGCCCACCAAGGGAGAGTCTGAACTCCTCCAAGGAGCTCAGAGCAGGGCCCTTGCCTTCCTGGGGAGATCATGGCGATCAAGGGCCCAGGACCTACGGCTTTCCGAATCAGGAGCAGATGTAACCATCTGCTTCACTGAACTCTTCCCTCAGCTCTGACACTTCCCCAGATCCGTGGCGCACAGCCTATCTCCTGCTGCCTTCTTAAAAGAAGTGCCTTCTCCAGTTCTGAGTGTGGCTGCATTCAGAAAAGGGTCTGGAAGGAACCTCTGGGCACTGCCCTGTGGGCTGTGAAATCATCATAAGCCTTTTGAGAGCTTTCCTGGATGGATGGGGGTAGGCCGGCTTTCTAGAGAGGCCGTCCGAGCTTAGACTTCCCTGGGTGCAACTGCCAACATCTGTCAAGGACAACTGCTTCCTGAGGCTACCATGCACGGTCCGCTACACCTCTACCGCACCATGCAGCGAGGGCTGGTAGACGCCAAGGCCCGATGACACCTGTCCGCAGAGTACACTCTGTTTCACAAAAGGAGGCTGCGGCGGCAGCTGTGCGACCAGAGGGGGCGCAATGCAGGGACTGGGCACTCAGCCCCGGGTTTCCCTTTTTTATTCTGGGCGTGTGTGCGTGTGCGTGTGGTTTCCCTCAAACTCAGTTCTTTGGTTTCCTTATCGGAGGATGATGCTTCTGGCTGAAGCAATTCACATACAAGCTTTTAGCTATTCAAAGCGCTGAGTTCGGTTTGGGAAGGGCCTCACCATCTTGGGAAGAATTTGGGTTCAATCCAGGACCTGCCATGGGAGCTGTGTGCCCCCCGGCGTCTGTGAGGGGGGGGCAGCCCGAAGCCCCTCATGAGGCTCTGAGGGGACAGCCGTGTCCGCCGCCGACAGCCCCCACAGCCGAGCTCTGGGAAAGGTATTCTGGTGACAGGCACATTCGGAGGGGCCTTCCCAAGGGTCGCCTTGGGCCCAGCTGGCTGGGAAGGCCTGAGTGTGTCCCTCCAGCCTTGGCGTTTAACCTGATTTTTCACCTGAAATGACTGATATAGTTTTCAGGGCCCGGAGGACTCGGAAGGTACGTAAAGCTGAGACATTGCCCAGGTCCACAAATTCAGTTGTGTATCTGTAACAAGGGAAAGTCACACACGAGACAGTGACAACACGCCAGTAGGAGACACACGATTGGGGGGGAGGGGAGACAGAGAGAGAGTCACTTGTAGCTGAGATCTGAGAGGCAAATCTGGGCATCTTACCTGGGATAACTGAAATAGTTTTTAGAGCTCTCAGGACTCTGAAAGTTCGAAGAGCCGACAAATTGCCTAGTTTTATATTTTCTGATACATACCTGCAGAATCAAACCACAGTTATTGGGAATTACAAAGCAGCACCTCAGCCTGCCCTCCCCGACCCACCCACTCCCTTCTCCCGCTCCCACAGGGAGGGCTGCGGATGGCCCAGGGCTCCCTCGGGTTCTCTTCCTCCTCTCCACCCTCCTGACACCGGACCCTCGGCGAGATGACTTAAGGATGTCCACATAGGAAGCCCCCACACGGGAGGCGGCTCTCTCAGCGAGGTGCTCCTGATAGCCGGGTGACAGAGGAGCCAAGGGGGATTCTGGTCCCAGCTTTGCGCTGCATCTTCTGTCGTCTGTGATCAGCTCGTTCCTGGCTGCCCCGATCTGTGGACCCTCAAGCCCTGGTTGAGACCCTCATGGAGGCGCAGCTAGGTCTCCGGGGGCCGACTCCCCCTCAGTGTCATCCCAAGACCTCCGGAGACCCCCAAGGATGGCCCTGGGTCTTCACAGGAGGAGGGACCTCAGGAGTGAGCCGCCCTCTAGGTCTGCTTGGGCCCGAGTGACACTCAGCAGGGCTGAATGGCTGAGACGTTCCAACCTACAACTCAGACAGTCATCCATCCGTGGTCTTCACAGGCACAGGAGGAAGGAGTCCATCTCTGGGGGGCAGGGGACTGCCCAAGCAGAGTGTGAGGATGTGCGTGGATGGGCCACGTGACCAGGATGTCTAAGAGCTGCGTGGACAGTGTGTGACCAGGACCATTGGGACAGTGGCAAGTGACTTGTGATATTTAACCAAAGATTTCACATCCACGGTATCTGACACTTAAGCGAAGGTGTCTGATGTTTAACAAAGGTCGGTGGACTCAGGATGTCTGATTTTTAACCAAGTGTGTCGTACCTGGTGTTTGAGTGACATTGGACCCAGGACGGCAGACCAGTGAAGCCGATTAAGTGCCAAGGGTGGGATGATCATGCAGCTGGACTCACTCTGCTGGTCAGTCTGGAACTCCAGGCCCTTCCACTCCACTCAGAGCTTCTGAATCTGCTTTCAAGCTGTGGGTAGGCTATGTCAAGGGACTCAGTGTCCTGGAGTCAGCTGAGTCCTGCCTTGTCCAGCTCTAACTGACCCTGGGCTGACACCAGATTCCTCATGTCCTCTCATGGGGCCCTTCCATCTTCACAGGGCCCTGTGGATCATGCTTGCTCCCTCCTTACTCCCCACATCCCTTCAGAGATGAGAAGTCAGCAGACACATTCTCAGAGTTTTTCTTCTGGCTACACCAGATCCTTTTTGTGGTGTGTTTTCCGTTCTTCCCCTGGACTCGCTTCAGCTTGTAAACTTCTGATGGGGAGTAGAAGTCACCTCCCTTATTCTGGCCCAAATACACCTATTAATTTGGTCCAAGTTCCCTCTTTACTTTTAATGGCTATTCCATCCTCTGTGATGACTCAGATCCTCAAACCTCTGTCCCACATTCTTCTTTCAGGCTTTATTTTCCATCCAGATATGGTGCTGCCACAAGACTTTCAGGTTTAGCTCAGAACACTGCTGATGTTGCCATCACACACAAGCCCCGGGTCCAGCCTGCTGGTGGCTCTGGGCCCCATTTCCCGCTGCCGGACAAATAAGTGTGGCCTGGGACAACAGTTTCTCTTTCTCAGGACACTGGTTCCAAGATTGTCTCTTCTGGTCACAGGGAGTGAGTAGAGCACCGTGCAGATCAGAGGGAACCAACTGTCCTTGCTTCTCTTGTCTCCCACAGACCCCGTCTGTCCCCTCACGTCTTCAGGGAAGCCCTGCCTGTCTGAAGCTTGGATTCTGCCTGTCTCTGCCCGTCCCCGTGTAGAACTCGTCTTCCCACACCCTCAGGCTTGCCCTCCATTCATGGTCCGCCTCCTCAGCAGCTGGTGCTGAGCACAGAGGAGCCAAGATCCCAAGGTGTGTGCTCCCAGCAGGCTTGCAAGGCCAGCCGAATGGCTGAGAACAGGAGCCGGGCTGGTGGTCGTGTGTGAAGTCAGGACATGTGTGGGAGGGCAATGCTGAGGAGAAGGAAGTCTTGAAGGTGAGATGCAGGGCTGGGTGAGGGCTCTGCATGTCCGTGACCCTGGCTGTGACATGGGGACCACTGCCCTTTTACCTGATTCAGAGCGTTTGGCCTGGTTGCTTCCCACGTGCGGGCCCTAGATCCCTAATGAGACATCTCTTGGGGCCCCGGGATGTGTGGTCAGAGACCCTGCAACGCAAAGGGCCAGCGTCGGCAGTGGCCGGGTTGGGGGTAGAGCTTTGCCCCTGTCAGGCTGGCAAAACGTTCCTCCAAGCCATTCTACTCCTTCTGCTCTGGCCAAGCTGCTGGGCAGGGGCAGACAGCTGGGCTGGTGGGCCCCGGGCCTGACACCGAAAGAGCAGAGGTTGGTGAGGGAGCAACCCATCCATCACACTAGCCCCAGGGCGGGGGGAAGCCCTTTTGGAAGCCGAGGACCCCAGAGGAAGGGCAGACCTCCTCCTGCTCCACCCCCATCTTCCTGTGCAGCCCTGCTATTCAAGGCAGACGGCGCCTCCTGGGCTGTTGGGCAGAGGTACAGCCCACCCTCTCCTCTCTGCCCTCCCTCCCTTCCCCTCCAGGTTTGGTTTCCATAACAACCCCCGGAGGTGGGCGGCTGTGCTAACGGGCAGGTAATGCCCTTCCAGGAGGGGCCCCCGGGAAGAACTCTGGCAGGAGGGTTGCCGGGCAGGCCTCCTGGCAACCCGGACCCTCCCACAACCCCTACATTGAGTGGGTGGGGGATCAGGTGGAAACCGTAGACCTGGAGCGCCTCTCGAGTAAGGGGACCTGTTTTAGTTTCAGCACGGCTGCTGATTCATTCCACAAATTTGGGCAAGAGGTAGGCTCTCTTGGAGCCTCAGTTCCCCATCTGTAAAATGGAGGATGGGGAGTTTCAGCGAATCGACCATTTCTGCCACCCAAAGCTCCTTCGATTATTCTAGGAGCACCCCCTCCGCCCCCTGTTATGGAGCCATTTTGACTATAGCAGGATGCATTTCACCGCATTACCAGGGCAGCATCGTTTTCATAAGGCAGGGCCACTGCCAATCAAAGCTGCCAGGCCAATCCAGCCCACAGCAGAAACCTGACATTGCAGTGGGTCCATGCGGCCCCAGGGGAAGTGAGTGCCGTTTCCCTGAGATGCTCAGGAACTTGGAAATAGTCTGCTGGCCTCTGAGGCTCTGTTCTGCTTTGTCACCCCTGGTTCTGGTACGGAAAGAAGGCAGGCAGGCAGGCCTCGGTGAGGAAGGCACACCTGCTCTGTGATTCCAAGCGGAAGAAGCAGTTCCCCGTGGGAGCCCATGGGATCGAGACAGGGATTCTCTCCTGGGATAAGACAGCAGGACTCACTAAGGGCCTGAGGTCATTCAGAGCATCTCCCAGAGACCTCCCGTTAGGCAAGGGACCCAGGGTCTGGGAGCATCAATCACTGCTGTGACACAGTCCTGTTTGGGCTCCAGGATGGGAAGGTAGGACAGACGCAGGCAGACGCTGTGTCCTGCCAAAGCTCCCTTCCTGTGACACCAGGCCCCCAGGGGCCCAAGGAGCACTGCTCCCCTCCTGTAGGGATTCTGGAGCCTGGGCCTGGCATAATAATCCTGCTCCCTTCCGAAGTCAGTGCAACGTCCTGGCTCTGCATGGTGAGGTCTCCTTCCCTCCTCAAGAGTAGGAGCCTCCCTACTCCGTGTTCTCAGCTGATGATTGTGCTTCTTACCGTGGAGAAAATAGGAGCAATCAGAAGAGAAATTCTCTTCTTTCATCACCAACTCTCCCAACCCAGAAATTCTGCCTTCCCTGCTCTGAAGGCCAATGCTCCACGTGGGCCCTAGTTTCCTAGCCCTCAGGCCAGCTCAAGGGCTTTGCTCCTGCAACTCACCCCCCTCCATCATCAGGCTGCCCTCCCGCCCGGATTGTGTCCCTTTACAAAGACATCTCCCTTCTTGAATGGTGCTGCTCTGCCCATCTTCCCCACTCCCAGCATCCTATTTTCAGTCTGGTTTACAGCTAACCCCGCAAAGTGCACGTCTATACTTGCCCCAGTCTCTTGAGCCCTGTCTAATCAGGTGTCTGGCCCCCCATGTCTGGTCGAGGCAATCAGTGGTGTCACGGTCATTAGCCGCGTCAAGGTCATTGGTGTCACGTCTCGGACTGCCATGGACTGTGTCTTGGATTTCTTCAGCCTCCTCAGGGCATCTTTCAAGTGGAGTCACGCTCCTCAGCTGGCTTTCAGGACAGTCCTCTGTCCGAGTTTTCCTCCACCCCCCATGGCAGTGCCCTCCAGGCTCCTTGGCTCACCCCTTCTTTCCTGACCTCGAGATGTTGGAGCATCCTGTGGTACCGTCCCCAGGCGCCATCCCTTCTCTGGCCACACTCACTCTAGATGATTCATTCATCCGGTCTCCTGGCTGCAAGTCTCATCTGCACCTTGATGGCTTCTAAATATATATCTCTACCTCGGACCTCTTTCCTGAACCCCAGACAGGAATATCCAGTTGCCTGTTCCATATCTCACCCTGGATGCTTTCAAACTTAATGCAGTTCAATCTGGATTCTTGATTGCCTCCCTCCCTCAGCCAGCTCCTCCCTCATCCTCCATTTCAATGAACGGTAACCCTGTTCACCGAGCTACTCAAGCCAAGCCCACCTGGGGGTCTCCTGCCAGCCCTACCCTCAAAGTACATTCAGAATCTGACCATGTCCCTCAGCTTCTCTACTTAAACCCTGGTTCCCACCACCATCTCTCTCCTGGCTACTAAAATAGCCCCCCAGCTGCCGGGCAAACTTATAATATATAGCTCAGGTCACGTTACTCCCTGCTTCTCAACCGCCGATGGCTCCCATCACCCTGGGCTCTCACCACCGCGTGCAGGGCCATGGGGCTGTCCCCCACCACTCTGCCTTCTCTCCTGCTATACTCTCCCTTGCTCACTCAGCTCTGCCCAGGCCTAAGTCTACACTGGCTTTGGGCAAGTGGCAGCGTCTCTCAGAGCCTCAGTTACCCCACCTGTAAAACGATGGGCTGGAGTCAGCTCACAAGCAGCGCACCCAAAAACAGAGGTCCCGATGCATTTTCTAACCACCAGACTCTCCACCTAGCTGGAAAGCAGCCCATCAGCAGGGTCTGGCTGCCCCTTCTCCCCTCTCTTCCCCACAGCATGGCTGAGCGCACAGCTAGGGCTGCTCATGTCCGGGGTGAAGCAGACCTCGTCACGCACGAACAGGCGGATTCAGTGAATCCAAGAATCCTAGAAAGCGGGCGCTGAACTGAACCTTTGATACCACCGAGGCCAACACTGTCCTTTCACAAGTCAGGGAGAGGAGGCTCTGCAAGGGCAGAAGTACTGCCCTCCCCAGCTCTGTTCCCTGCCAAGGTGTGGGGCCCAGCCTGGGTTTGCTGGCTGAGCCCGGGCCACAACTCCTGCACACGAGGCCCACCATGATCAGTTGTCGCCCCCAGAACACAGCATCCCGTTGCTGACACATCCCAAGGGGAATGCCTCAACCCAACCTCAGCGAGGATCTCTTTCTAGACAAGGAAGCGGGGTCCCAGCCTGCTTGGTGGCATGCCAGAGATATTCACATTCACTCTCTGGCAGGCTCCTTGGGTGTCCTTGGCATCTGTTTTGTCATCTGTAAAATGGGGACAAGGAATCCCCATCCAGGATACCTCCCCATCCAGGATACCTCACTGGATCATGTCAGTGACTGGGGCCTTAGAATGTGCCAAATGTGGAGTCCGTGAGTGGAGAGAGCGGATGCGCTGGTGTGCCAGGCATGGGCTCCTGGGGATGCCCAGTCACGTCTCCAGGCTCCTCTTTCCTGGTGATTCATTCTTAATCACCTTGGAATCCAGGTCATTGTTCACAGGGGTCCAGAAGTCTTGGGCTGTAACACTAGTTTCCCGCGGTGGAAAGGGCAGAGGACGCTAAGCCAGAATCGTAATGATGTCCCTGGAACACAGGGCTGCCACGGGGCCACAGCTGAACCCGCTGGCCTGACCTCCGTGGCCCACCAGGAGGAGCTGGGGGCCTCCATCCTGTCTGCTCTTGCCATAGCACTAAGGTGGGCTGCTCTACAGCCACTTGCAGACTGCAGCGGGGGGCCCAGGGCCAGGGATGATGCACACGGCCCTGACGACGGCCTGGCGTGGCACGGTATGGCACAGAGAACAAGGTACTTACGCCATGACAATCACACTGAAGTCCAGCCAGTTCCATGGGTCCCGGAGGAAGGTGAACGCATGCAGGCAGAAGCCTCGAGCCAGAATCTTGACCAGAGACTCAAAGGTGTAAATGGCAGTGAAGGTGTACCTGGGGGGAGAGACCCGCAAGGTTTCTCAGGGAGGCTGCAGCCCACAGGCCAGGTTGACCGGGTTCCTCACATGCATGCATGAGCCCTGTACAGCTCCGCTCTTAAGGAGCCCTCAGACCGGACCCTCGGCCATGCCCCATGGCAGAGCTAGAGCCTTGGGCCAAACACTGGACTATTTACTGCATCTCTGCACGTGTTTGCTCAGCATTGCTGAGTGCCCACCATGTGCCCTTCTGAACTTTCCATTTTCCCTCTTGCTTGTCTTGGCGTAAGAAGACCCTCGACTTCTCTCCTCACCCCAGCCTCGGGGGCCATGCACACGGGCATATGGTGGCCTGTAAAGACACTCAGATCATGTCACTCCCTCACCCTTGCTGGTGGGTCCTCAGCAGCTAGTGACAGGAGCATGGTCCATTCTCAACTACCTATAGGTAGCTGGGTACAGCTGTCTACCTTGCGCTCGGAAAAGGGGCTGAGGTTCTAACGCCTGAGGCTGGGAGGGGTGGCCTGAAGAATCTGGATGCCTAGATGCAGGGACCATGGCCCACAGTCATCCCCGCAGCACTGATGATGCTGTGGTCCTGGGCGAACACAGAGAGCCACAAGGCGAGCCACTTTGGTAAGAGAGGCTGTCCCTGACATTCCATCAGTTCCCTGAAAACAGGCACCAAACGCCCCAAGGGCCTATCGGGTCTGTTTAAAACTCGTGGGTAAGGTACTTTCATTTGAGAAGGACGGGCCAGAAGCAGTTTTCTGAAACTGAGCAAATGGTCCCAGGAGGCAGCAGAGATAGTCGTGAAGTGGGGACAGCCCTGGGCTTTGCCCGGCTGCCACACCCCCTGGCCATGCCCTACTGGACAAGGTGCGCCCCCAGTTTCCAGCTTCCTGTCTAAGGGGGATAGTGGCTGTCCCCACCCTATTGGGCTGCCTGGATGGTCAAAGGAGATGAGGCTTACTGTTCCACGGCAGCGCCTGGCACACACTAAGCGCTCGATAAATTGTCAGGATTTTATTTCGGAGCCTTCCTCAATGTGCTCAGTGCTGTTTAGGGTGGGTCAGGAAGGAATCTCCCACTTGGCCAACCTGGAGAGCTTCCGCCCCTGAGGCCACCGCTCAAGTCAAGAAGCTGGCAGGACCAGGAGCGGCCAGAGAGGGAAGGGGCTGGGCCACGGACCTTCCGGGTGGGTGAGTCCCGCCGGGGACTTCTGGGGTGACTTCAGAGGCCACGGTATGTAATGGAAAGGAAGGGAGGGAGGGGCCGGCTACAGAGGCCCTGAAGATACTCACTCGACATACTTGGTCCAGGGTGGAGGGTCGTGCTGGGCCATGAACACGCAGTTGGTCAGGATGGTGCACATGATGAGCATACTGAACAGCGTGGCGCGGAGGTCAAGGAAAGCCATGTGCCGGCCAGGCCACTACGGCCTGAGGGTCCTGCCCTTGCGGGTATCATGCCATGCCAGTGCTGCCAGATCAATGAGGTGGGGGCTCCAAGGGGACACCCTGGGGCTGTGCCCAGGCCCTGCCAACCTCTCCCCTCCCCAGCACTTGCAGCCGGACACCTGCCCTGCTCAGCAGCCCCTTCGGGGACCAGACAGCTGACATCGAACCATTAGCAGAGTTCCACATAGGGTCCGTCCTGGGGGGCAGGGAGGAAGACCCCCATACCACAGAGGTTTTTACCCACAGCCGCATGGGCATGCAGTCCTTAGCCCCGGGAGAGGGAGGTGGGATTTAGAAACTGCTCTTCAGGGGCCACCTCCTGGGGGCGAGAGAAAAGCCCTGGCGGCGGGACTCCCAGTTCTCTCCCCTGCTTCCCCGAGGCTTTTCACCTTTGGCCTAGGACTTCTCTGAAGGAGTGTTCTGCTGTCCAAACTTATATACCTTGTCAGGACACACGGACACTGAGGATGCAGGCATGGCTCCTCAAACTGCGTCCTGCCCTTCGCACGTGCTCCACCTAATGCTCTCCTCCTCCCCCTCCTTCAAGAAACTCCTCAGCAGGTGCACCTCCTCTGAGCAGGAGCCCCCCTCTCCCCACCCCCGCCTTGAGCAGGAGTATTCCTCTGAGCAAGAGCACTTCCTCTGAGCGGGAGCACCCCCTCAGAGTGAGTGCTCCCTCTGAGCAAGGGCACCCCTTCTGAGAAGGAGCACCCCCTCTGAGCGGCCTGCTCTGACTCCTAGGAGACTGCATCCCCAGGGCATGGGGCATCTCTAAGTGTGCCCTTGCTCCCTAAGTGGTAATGCCCATCTGTTCCCCACCAGAAGGGGAGTGCTTCAGATGTTGGGACTGTGTCTTGGGCATCCTCTTGGGCCCCTGGCCTTGAACTGAACTGCCCCAGGCCTTGGCTCATCCCTGACTCTGGCTACTTCTCTGTTGCTTCAAGCTGGACGAAGCTCTGCCTAACCTCCATGGCCTCTGTCACCTCTGCAAGATCTACAGAAGAGCAAGGGGCAGACCCTGGGCCGTGTAGGGACTAGGGCACCCCCCAGGGGCCTGAGTCAGAACAGGGACACTCTGCTGCTCTCACAAATTCCCTCCCCAGCCCAAGAAGAGAGGCTGGGCTTCCTGCCCCCTGCGGCTGCCCCCAGGCTCACAACATGGCCCCGGCCCCAGCCCTGTGCACAGCAGCTGCCGGTCTGAGATTCCCTCCGGCTGCCAGGGAGCTGAAGTAATTGAGCCCTAGGGGCCTGCCTCTTTCCTCCCTAGCAGAGCTCCACCGTTTTCTGGCCTCGGGTCTGAGGGGGAGACCAGTGCTGTCAGCCTAGCCGGGGTGCTGACTTCTGGGAGGGTGTGGGTGCTGCCCCATCTGGGAAGGGAGGGGAGGGGAGTGAGGCCTCTCAAAGAATCTAGGTGTGTGCCCTCCACACTTCTAGTCCTCCTTCTAGGGAATCGACGGGATTAGGAAATAGCCGGCCAAGCCCCACCCCCAGTTTATAATGAATTCTCCATTTTCTCACCTGAGATGAAAGAGGATCAGGCTTTGGGAACCTCCCTCAGTTAAAGAAGAGCTGTTCAGCTCAGAGTCCATGGCTCCAGGAAGTCCTGATTCCTTCCTGGTGGGAGGACACCTCTCAAGGCATGGGGTGTGGTGGGGGGGAGGAGGGGGGGCAGTGGGGGGGGAGGTGTCCCTCAGCTGGAGAGCTGCCCCACCTCTCCAGGCACAGGGTGCAGCGGGCAGGGGGGCTGTCCCTCAGCTGGAGAGCTGCCCATCCCTCTGCCTGTGGGCAGGTCTCCATGGCCGAGCCTACTCCCTTCTCCCTCACACACGCACCCAGGCTTTGTGCCAAGGCTGTCCTTAATGGGCAGACAGCTAACTTGCCCCTCAACCAGCTTTATTCAATGCCCCCCCTCACCAGATCCACTACTGGGGATCCCAGGTGATTTCTGAAATATGAAAGTAATGACCCTAAGAGCAAATATTTATTGAGTCCTTCCTAGGTGCCAGGCTCTGCTCTCTGTAACCATTAACTAATTCAATTCTCCCAACAACCCAAGGCGGGGCGGGGGGGGGGGAGGGGGGAGACTTTGTCTCCATTTTGTACACAAGGAGACTGAGGCACAAGGTCAGGCTGGAAGTTACTATAGCAGGTGCAATAACAGCCCTCCCTCCCCAACCCCCAGACAACCACATCCTAATCCCTGACAAGCATAAAAGGGATTTGTGGATGGGATTAAATTAAGGGTTTTGAGATGGGAGATCACCTTGGATTGTCTGGGTGGGCCCAGTGTCAGCACAGGGTCCTTCTACGTGGAAGAGGGAAGCAGGAGGGTTGGTATCAGAGCCTTGCCTGTGGGGAAAATTCCACCAGTGGTCGCTGACTTTGCACGTGGGGGTGCCACAAGCCAAGGAGTCCACACGGCCTCTAGAAACTGGGAAAGACTAGGCACAGAGTCTCCCCTAGTGCCTCCAGAGAGGAACGCAGCCCTGCCGAGACCCTGATTTTAGCTCAGTGAGACCTTCTTGGACTTCTGACCTCCAGAACTGTATGGCGATACATTTTTGTTGTTTTAAACCACTACGTTTGTGGTGATTTGTTGCAGCGGCCACAGACTGTCGGTACAAAGCTGGTCAACGGCACAGCCCAGCTCTGAGCCCCGGCTGGCCCAGCGCAGGCCCCCGACTCTGAGCCCTGCCGCTGCACTGTCTCTGCATGATGACACCAAGGGGCGACCCACTGCCTCTAGACCGAAGGCCTGGGGCGAGTCACACTGCTTCAGGGGAAATGCTACCCCATACTTGGCCTCTGCCACTCACAGGGCAGTAAACCAATGAGTGAAGGGCTTTGTAAAGTATGTGCAGACTGCCACCCTGGGGGCGGGGGGGCCGGGGAATGAAATTGTTTGTCATTTTTTAGAACAAACCTAAGGAGCATGTGCGCCAGGCCCTGGGTGGGAGACAGGGAGGGATCTGAACAACTCCAAGATGGGACATTATGAGACACCAGACCTGCCTCTGGCTGGGCAGGAAGGCTTCCTGGAGGAGGCATTTAGACAGGCACCTAAGGCTGGGCAGGGTTCCTTTAGCAATCTGTCAGCGCAGCTGGTCACGGTGAAGCAAGGTGGGCTGACTGGGGAGACCCCTCTCACTGCTCTCACTAGAGCGAAGAAAAGGCCCCTGAGCAGTGAACAGCAGTGTGGACAGGCTACCTCGGACCAAAAGACTCGGCTGGAGTTGAGGTGAGTTGAACTCAGGCATCAAAACTTAGGGAAGAGCCAGAGAAGACAGCCCTTCTAAGTGCTGCTAGCCAGGGCCCTGGGTCCCACGGTGGGGAAAGACAGGAGCTGCCTGCCTGGGTTTTGGCTTTTTGAGACACGGCAACCGGTTAGGGTGAGGTGCAGCCAACTCTAGAGCCTGGGCCACTTGACTGCTCGAAACCCTGCCTGGCTCTCTGCACCCTGAGGACGGCCCTTCCAGTATTCTCTGTCACTCCTATATGTGTGTGGTCTCTTCCTGCTTAGAGGTGTCTCTAGTCCATGTGACTCTGCTCAAAGCATCCCCAGGTCCCCCATGGAGCCCAGCAGGCAGCCAATACCGGAGAGATGAGTCAAGGGCACTCCGGGCCAGCACAGGACACACCTGTTTGCACTGCCTGGCAGTTTCAGGCCGATGATGGAGCTGGCCCCATGTGTGGGCAGAGGCAAAGGCCGGCTCTCTAGGTCTGAGCTCAGCTGAACATCTTCAATCCTGGTGTGTTATTGTCCCCAAACACCCACTCCCAGCCTCATGATTAAAATGTCGGCAAGGACTGCCTGCATGGCTGGTGGGGAATGCCTGAAACTTGGCCTGCCTGTCTTCAGATCCCGAGGAGTCCAAAAAAAAAAAAAAAACAAAAACCAAAAAACCAACAACAAACCTCGCAAACAGAAGGGATGCTGTGGGGGGCATTTTCATATATTTGTGCCATTCAATTACCATGCACACACACACACGCACACAAACACACACAAACATGTGGTTTGATTGCCCATTTGAATCTGCTAGAGAAACGTGGGAGGATTTTGTGAACAGATCCTGTGCACCCAGGAAGGCAGAAAGCTTCTCGGCGCGAACGTGAGGCCTCTCTGAATGTGACTGCAGTAGAATTGGGAATTCAGTTGGTTTCTTTTATTTAATCCTGGCAGGAACACATTCTGCAGGATTATAACAAAAATACATTGGAAAAAATAATTCTACATACCCATATTTACTTTTTAGGCCACTTCCCAGGGATGTGGTACAAGGGTAGCGCACAGAGCAAAGCTGAGCTGAATTACGGTGCACTCGCCAGCAGGTCGCTGTGAATGCCTGCATCATTGCTAGTGAGTGGGTCTTCTTCCTTGAGAGCAGGGGCCGCCCTCCTGCCCCTGCCTCAGTTTGTCTTTGCCCCCTGGCCCTTTGCAAAGGGCCGAGCACAGAAGGGCGCACATGGGTGGCTCAGTACGTGTCTGAATGGATATGAAAATGTAAGCCAACCACGGGTACAGAGTTTCAGTTTTGCAAAAGTGCTAGAGCTTTGCTGCAGGACAATATGCACATAGTAAACACCACTCAACTGTACACTTAAAAATGGGCAAGATAGTAAACTTTATGTTCTGTGTGGTTTTTTTTTTTTTCACCACAATACAAAAGAATGTAAGCAGAGTGAAAGTTCACTATTCAAAACACGAAATCGGTATGCATTCAAAATCCATAGTGACTGCTAAGGGGCAGGGGGCTCCTTTTTGGGGTGATGACATGTTCCGGAATTAGATAGTGGTGATGGTTGCACCACTATAGGAATATACTGAAATCCACTCAGTTGTTCGTCTCAAAACGATAAACTGTGTGGTATGTGAATTATATTTCAATTAAGAAAAAAAGAGATACACACAGAGAGCTTGTGGATTCCTAGGCTTCACCCTGGAGCTTCTGGTCCGGAAAGGGCCAGGAATCTTCATTTTAAATAAGTTGCCCAGGTGAGCCTGAGGTGACCCTCACAGACCGACACCTGAAAACAACTGCCCAGGGCGGTGTGTGCTCGGAGGGAGGGGCCCTCGTGAAAATGCAGGTTCTGGGGTGGGGCCCGAGATTTGGCAATTCTTACAAGATCCTCACTCTGCTGCTGCTACAGATCTGTGCGCCACATTCTGAATGGCAAGGCTCAAGGGTGCAGAGGGGCTGCTCCCAAACCCCCGCGGATCTAGACCCTTCCTCTCTCCCACTGCCCCCCAAGCCCACTAAGGGGCGCTGTTGAGGACCAGCGGAGGGCTCCCAATCCCAGGCAGCCGAGGATCGAGGCAGCCCCTGGGAGCCCATTGCAGGGCCTCAACCATGGCAAGCCACCTCCCTGGGGCAGCTGCCCTGGGGAACACAGGCCGGCTCTGAAGCCTCAGGGTCGGTCGTCCCCGTGGAGGGTGGGGGGCGCGGGGGGACACCAGCAGCACCACGCGGCCTCAGCCACTGCTCAACGGGCCCTCTGGCTAGGCTTCGGATGCCAGTGCCCCCAACCACCTCCCTGGCCTCATCGGGCCACCCCCACCCTGGGCCCAGCCCAGGGCCCTGCAGGAATCCTGGGGCTGCCGCTGCATCCCTGGGGGCTGCCCTGGCTGCCAAACAGTGCTGGGTTGGTTAGATACCTGGAGGAGAAGCCCCAGGTGGGAGCCCGAGCATGCTTTCAGGGAGGCCACGCCCTTGGAGTGAGGCGCAGACCAGCTCAGAGCTGGCGAGGAGGCCGGCCTTTCCTCCTCCCTCTGCTCTGTCCTCACCAGGCTGTGCCCACACGCTGGCAGGAATGACAACTATTCCTGTAGCTGTCTTATCAGTCTTAGGGGACTGCACAATTCCCAAGGGGGCAGGCACAGGGTCCTGTTCAGCGCCATACACCCAGGGTGCCCGGCAAAGTGCCCGACATCTACAGGGGTTTTAGAAACAGTTGCAGAATGGCTCAAAATTCAATCTAGAATGACTCTAGCCCCACAAAGTAGGACGTAGCTATGAACGGCAGGCTGCTCCCTGAATGGAGCCCCTCCCCTCGGTGTCTGCCCACCCCAGAGACCACCCCACGGCTGCCACAGTCGTGGCTGCACGTGGCACTTTCCCTGGACGCACACATCTAGCGAACCCTAGGAGAAAGGCAGGAGTGAGCAGGAGGAGGGGAGAGAGTGTCTGCATGCAGAGAACAGATTTGGCACTGAGCTCCTCCGATTAACCCCTGGGGTGAGGATCGGGCACTGGGGCACAGGTGAAATGGAGCCAGGAAGGGGCATCCCTCATCCCCGCCCGGACGGGGAAAGCCCCTGAGCTGTCAGCATCTGTCTCGGTGACTTAGTTCCTCACGGGGCAGCTGTTTTCCCCGAAGCCTCCTGCCCTGCTCAGAGGTTAATGGGTCTTTGCCTTGGCCTCCGAAAAGGTCCATCCAGAGTGGGGAACGGAGGGGGGACCGTGGGGAGCTCTATGGGGCCAGCCTGCCACGCCCACGGCTAATCACTCCGCAGAGCCCAGCGGCACTGATTCGATTAACAGCCCAGCCAGCTGCCAGCCGAAGGGAGGCTGCCCAGGCCGGCACCGTAAGACACAGATGCCCCCGACTGCATCGGGACACTCGCCTCCCCGCCTCCCCATCTGTGGGGCCCCTTTGCTGAAGTCCGCAGAACAGCCGTGATTGGGTGCTGGAGCCCTGTCCCCCGTCCCACGGCCTGAATGAGGTCCCCTTAGGGCCCAAAGGCCAGTCCTGTCCCCTGTTACACTGCAGCACTCCCAGGGCGTTCCTCCGCAGCCGACGGCTTTTTTAGGCTGCCGTTTATATAATTTAACGCTAACCAGAGTTCTTTGAGACAACTCTGAAACTGCAAACATTTTGTCAACACCTAATCAAAAAGCAAGTGTTGCCTCCCTCGAAGGATGCCCACGTGTGAATAAACCAGAGGTCTCTTTACTGGGAAGTGGTTTCTCCTTGGCTGAGCCCCGGTGCCCAGCTTGAGGTCCCTGCACGGGGATGGGGAGGCAGTGGGAGGGGACTTTGGAGCCGAAGCAGAGCCAGGGGACATTGGCAGACCTCTTTGTCTTCTGGGATCCTCAGTAGCTTGGCTTCTAGGACGTTTCTCTACTGAAGAAGCAGGGTTTCCCACACTTTCATGTGCCCAAGAATCCCCTGGGATATTGTTGAAATGCAGATGCTTGGTTTGCAGGTCTGGGGTGGGGTCCAAGAGCCCTACATTTCCAACCAGCCACTAGGTGATGACCATGCTGCTGGGGTCCTCAGGGACCGGCACCACTCTCCGCCCCAAGCACCCTGCCCACCCCCACGTGGGACCTAGAGGAGACACACAGCAGGGACTCACTGCAAAGGATATGAGTGAACCAAAATCTTCACAGCGGCTCTCCGGACAGGGTGGAAGGGACTGAGGACATACAAGGCATTGGTGGCACTGAACCGGAAGATGGTCTTGCCTTTATTCAGCACAATGAAGGTCTGTGAACAGAGAGCTGCTTTAGGTTGGGGCGGTGACCCCTAGGCCCCTGTGGAGAGAGGATTTGGGGGGGGCAGTTGTTGGCTCAGAGCCCTAGAGCCCTGGCTAAGGGGTGGGGTGGGAGGAAGAGAGGGACAGAGAGAGGGGGAGGGGAAGAAGAGGGCAGGTCAGTGGCCCCCTCACGGTGTTGCCCGTGGCTGTGGTGGGATAAGGTCAAGTTTAGGGGAATGTCAGGTTGGGTGGGACTCAGTTCAGTTTCAAAATGACAGTCCTAACAAGAAGGGGCCTCTCTTGATCCTAGGCAAGCTGTTTTCACAGCAGAGGCCAGGACCCGGCTGATGCCCTCTCCTTCCCCTTCTCCCTTCTGATCCCTCGCTGCCTGCTGGGAGTGATGGGCTAATCAGGGAGCTGGGTCAGTGGAGAAGACTAACAGCTGAGAAGTAGGGATGGGAAAAGGCAGACCCCAGCCCACGGAGAGAGAAGCTTTCCCTGAGCCCCTGTCTCGGGGTCCAGGGCAGGTGTCAGCCCTACCCCACCCCAGAGGCAGTGACTCGGTGTCTCCCCCAGGAGGATCTTGAGCAGCCCATGGTGGACCCTCTCCCCAAGCTTCCAGAAGACGCTGTCCACACAGCACAACGGGGCATGGGAGTCGATCGGGGGTGCTGGAGGCTGAGCCCCGTGCAGATGCAGCCCTGGAGGACAGCAGTCCATCCCCAGCTGCCCAGGCTAAGGCTGGCACAGCTGAGGGGGCACTGCTCTGGGGCTGTGCTTCTCCAAAGGTTGAGCTGGTGAGACAAAGTTCTATTTAATCTGAGCTGGGGAGATAAGCTGACTGGGTATATGAGGACCAAAAGTTCTGCTGTGGTGCCTGGGTCACCCCCTGGGACTTGGGGCAGTGTGGCCAGGGGTCAGCAAAGAGAGACAGAGGTTAGAGGCCAGAGTCATACCTGGGCCATGGTTCAAGTATTCCTGATCCCAGGGATAGAAACCAGTGTCCCCGACTGCTTCCAGTGTCCCTGACCCAGCCCAGCCTTGACTCCATCCTCTACTGGGTCCTCCTGCCATGCCTTCTGCCTGTTCCAGCCGACTCTAACGTAGCTGCCACTCTGATTTGCGCCTGGCCACCAGCTTTGGCCTTAACCCTGACCCTGACTCTTACTTCCAGCTGTGACCAACAATGACCTAGACCCACCTGCCCTGACTAATCCCAGCTTCCAGCCTGACTCTGACCCCACCCCCACCTTCGTCATTTGAACCAGGGGGAAGCACAAGCAGGTTCAAGGTCTCTTCTCCCACCTGTGCATGTAGATTGGGTGGGCTTTCCCTTTACCCACTCACACCCACACCCACTCCCATCACACATGGAGACACTGTGCACCACACCACAAGCACGGTCACACACACACTCAGGTGCCTAGTGATACAGACACCCAGGATTCACACTGCCGGCCGCATGCTCACACTTGCCCTGTGAGCACCGGCCCTGTCTGCCCTCCAGTGCTTCCCCAGCCCTGGCGCTGACTGCAGTGATGTGAGCAGGCACCTTCTTCCTCAGTACCTGGCCTTCTGGGGAAAGGCCTCCGCCAAATGCAAACCCGCCTTCCTCCAGCAGCGAGGCCTGGAAGTGTGGGCAACCGGCCGGGGACCAGGCCTCTGTGGGGCTGGGGCAGGGCACCCAGATGGGGGAACCCACCTCCTGGGTGGAAATCCCTGCTGGGAGAGAGCCTGAGTCACCCTGCCTAGTGCACAAAAGCTATTTCGTCTCCCTATACTCAGGAGGACAATGGCAGAACAAACACCCCCCCCTCCCCCCGCTCTCAGATTTCCCACTGGCCTTCACAGTCCCATTGCCAGCCTGCAAGGCCCAGGAGCTGCTGCTGCGGTCCCCCGCCTGGGCTACCCAGGCACAGCCAAGGCCCAGTGAATCCTCCGGGCCGGAGTGTGCGGGCAACGCACTGTCCCTAGTAGGAGCGGGGACCACGTGCTGTGCTCTGGAGCCCAAACTCAGGACAGGACTTAGGGCCCAACTCCAGATCATACACCTTGCAGAAAGTCTAACCACAGATGACCTTCACAGTAGGCACTCCACAAGGAGGCAACGTTTCAACTGTGGCTGCTCGCTCCTTCTCTTCTAACACCAAACCAGATCAGGCTGCGTGATTCTGGCTTTTATTCTGGAATAAAATGAAAATGATCGGAATATAGATCCCCAATGACTCACTCCCCCAAAGCCCAGGGAGCCCGCCCCGAACGCAGCCCCATATGGAGGCGAGGCCCTCTCCCTATGTGCTGTGCTGAGAGAGGAGCTGCAGGAAGGTGTGGGCAGGGAGGTGGGCGGCAGTCACCTTTTGGGTGCTATAGAAGGGGTCCAGGTCCTCCAGGGGCTCCCCGATGAGCTCTCGGGGCGGGTTGCCATAGAGATCTGGCAGCTTTTTGGAGGCCTGCAGGTCCAGCTGGGGCCGGGGAGCCTCCTCCTCAGGCAGCCCTTCCCGGCTCTCCTGCGAGGCGGCCGAACCTCGGGCTTGCTTCTCCGCCATGCGCTTCTCGATGGCCGCCAGGGACTCCCGGGTGAACCTGCGGAAGCTGCTGGTGCCCCGAGGTAACAGGAAGTCTGCCATATTCTCATCCTGCTTCTGGGGCACAGGCAGTCCTCGCGTGGCCTGTGGGGAAGCCAGAGAACACGGGCTATGCGGGGGGAGGGAAGGACGAGGTTTGCAGAGACGGTCCTGGCCACAGTTCCCAACCTCTCCAGAGGCACACCTGGCTGGCGCTGGCCTGGGCAAACCCAGGGTCCTCCGGGCTGTGGGCTCTGCGTGGGGACCCGCAGGAGGGTCCCTTTCCCATCCCAGTGAGCACATTTGATGACAAGTAGGCAAGAGTGGCTGTGTCACACACACACACTCAACACAAAAGGGAACACTTGCACCTGTGGGTTCCTGAACCAAGCCGACACACTTCCCACAAAGGTGCTGACACTCTCTGGACTAGGAGGGACACTCCCTGGGGCAGGGCTGAGACCCGTCATCTTTCCATCCCAGCGCCCTGGCAAGGCTGGTCCTCAACAAATGAATGATGGAAGGAATGATGAAGAATATGTAGGTGAGGGAAGGGCATTAGAAGGTACCCAGTGCCATCCCCCTCTCAAGCTTGTCCCTTCTATACGAAACCCTGGAGCCTTGTGGAAGGTGACCAGAGGCCTTCTGAGCCAATGCCCAAACACGGGGTTTCTTTTCTTCTGGGCAGATGCAGCCTGGGCGGTGGGGCCAAAGACAGAGTTACTCTGTCTCCCCACAGCACCATGTGCCTACAGGGGGAGGGTGCCCAGACTTACCCTGGGGCATGGAGGTGCCAACGTCTGGTAACTAAAGGGGCATCTGTGTCTGCCGAATGATACCCAGGCAAATGCCATGGGGTTTTGGAAACAGCAGGGTCACAACTTTGGAGTTGTCATCCAGATGCTGGCACCCGGGTATACACACAAGTGCAGTAATGCCCTGCTGAGAGGGTCCCCCGCAAACCCCCAGGGTGAACATTCTTCCAAAGATGGGAAACTCAGATGGAGCATCTCAGGCTCTTCACCTCTCCACACACTCCCCTCTTCCCAAATCCGAACAAATGAGGGCTGATCCCAAGTGAGAGCAGAACCAGAAAACAGTGACCACCATCCACGAGGGTGTCCTACCAGCACACGGACGTGACGTCCAACTGGGAGAATGTGGGCCCCAGTGGCCTCAAATGATCCAGGACCTGGTGTGAACATGCTCTGCCTATGACATGGAGACCAAAGAATGTGCTCCTGACTGTCCCAACAAAACAGGATGTGGTAGGCACAGCTCCTGACTGCAACACCCCGGGGAAGGGGGAGGCAGTGTGGCTAATTACCGCATCAAACCCAGGAATGGCTGGGCATCAGCTCAAGAGGGCAGGGTGGACACCTGTTGGAGATCTCCGCCAGGACAGAATCCCTTTCCGTCAACCCAAGGCAGACTTTGCCTTGATCTCACTCCTGTGAAACATGTCACCAACGACCCCAGCGATCCACCGCACTGACCCTTGCACACAGCCCTCGAAGGTCCCAGGCCCGGGCCCAGGATTGCTGGGAGGTGGGCACCTGTCCAGGTGACAGGTAAACAGTGAGCAAGCATAACACAGCCAGGCCTCAAAAGGGCACCTCTGGTCCCCAGGGAAGTGCAGCAAGGCAGGTATGAAGGGAAGTCAGAGGAGAGGTCCTAGGACCTAGCACTTTAAGAACCACTCCGTCCTTCGGGGTCTTGTTGCTCTGTTTCATTCAAGTCAAGGTAGAGGAACATCTTTGTTAAAAACAGCAGGTGAGGGAGTAGGTTCCCATCTTCTAAAAGCATGTCCCTGTCTAGCTTCCATCTTTGAGCGAACATGAAAGGTGTCTGGGACGCTTGTCACCAAAGGTGAACGGTGATTTTTTTCCTTCGCTGGTAAAAATGTGGGTCATGTTACACGTTCTTTTTTGTACTTTTCTTTAGTTGCTTGAATTACTTAGGATGATCTTGTATTATTTTTACAAAAACAGTAAAGTCATTAGTCTTTACTGAAAAAGGAGAAAAGAAAAAAAGCCAGCCAGGGTGACAACAGCCCTTTGTAGGACAACCCTCTCCACCATCAGCAATCACTAGTCAAGTAAATCAGGAAGCCTCCTCTTTGGTTTGGAATTATTTCCTAAAAATAGTGTTCTCTGTCTCACTGTATCCATCTGTGTCCTGCAAGGGAGACACGTGTATGCCCATGGACATGCAGAGGCTCACCGGTATATACTGGGGTGTGTGTGTGTGCGTGTGTGCATGTGTGTGTATGTGTGAGAGAATGTGCATGCACATACACGCTCACACCTACATATACGTCTGTTCTAATACACTTGTTTAAAAATGTGTATTGAAATCAATGATTCATGCAGATTGGCGCACATATTCTAAGTGTACAGGTGGATGAATTTCCGCAAACTAAACACAGCTGGTAACAGCACCCAGGTCAAGAAAAAAATTGTCGGGCGCCTGGGTGGCGCAGTCGGTTGAGCGACTGCCTTCAGCTCAGGTCATGATCCCGGAGTCCCGGGATCGAGTCCTGCATCGGGCTCCCTGCTCGGCGGGGAGTCTGCTTCTCCCTCTGACCCTCCCCCCTCTCATGTGCTCTCTCTCTCTCATTCTCTCTCTGTCAA